AAACTCACGACCTTGCCCTGGCCAGGCAGGCGCTTTGCCACTGAGCTAAATCCCTAGCCCCCGTGGAAAGTATTTTAGACTGAAACTTTAGGTTATAATTTAGGAATTTGGAAACATTATAATTTTCATAGTTTTTATATCACCAATAACCAGATAAACTTTCTTTGTGAATTTTCATTTAAAATGATATAAAATTTAGGCTAAAAATATTTATGGAAGTGTTCCTAAACAGTTTATTTAATAGATCTCCCTTTCTTTTACTTTCTTTCTTCTTTATTCTTCCTTCCTTTCTTCCTTCCTTCCTTCCTTCCATCCTTTCTCTCTCCCTCTCCTTTTCCTTCTCTCTCTCTCATTTTTACAAATAAAATGAAGGACATATAATTAAATAGTTGAATGCATAAAAGTGTCACAGAATGTCACATTCTATTTTTTGAGCTGTTCTATTCACAGAACTGGTAATCGTAATGCCTAGTTTGGCATGCTTTTGGCTTTGTTATCACTGTCTCATATCCCCTTGTCTCAAAAATTCAAGCTGGGAGCTGACATTTCTCAGTCATCCCACATTTCTTTCTTCTGTGAAATTGCTCCCTCTATGTTTGTTGTTTTGCTTCTCACCTCACGTTTGATTCTCTCACTGTTTCCAGTGGTGATTTATCAAAATTTTTGTAAATACGTTCCATACCCTATTTACCATCTGGATAATTTCTGCTTTTGCACTTGATTTATTATCTAATATAACTAAGTGCACCAACTCCTGGAAATATCAAAGACTCCTTCCTTGGTCAGATTGTCCTCCCTGAGGAAGGCCCTAACTCTTGTCCTGAAAACTGGCAATCTGTGTGCAGTGCATCAGTATGAACGTGTGCACCTATGCTAAACCATAAGAAGAGGGTAATATTCTGCTCTCCCACACTAAGAGACCCTTGGGCTGTGCTGTAAATTGCACGTACCAGCAGATACAGGATGGAGTACAGGAGGACAGCCTGACACCAGTATGCAAACCTCAGAGTTAGCTCGATCCATGTTACTCAGTGACACATATGATAAGTTCTATTTTTCCCAACAATTCATCAATCAGTGCATAAAAAAGATCTTTTCATTTGGTAGCCTCACGCCATCATTATTCCAAGATAAATGAGTGAAAAGTACATTAGCACTTCTAGAATAGCTTACTGAGTTTATCTGCAAAGCAACTTGACTCAAAATCTAACCACAACTTCTGATGTAAGATTTTCTGTGATCAGGCTCCAGGACTTTAAGGAAACTATTCACTGAGTCCAATGTGAAGATAAAATTCTAGATGGCAGTTTTCTGTCACTATTGTGGGCACTAATACTTATTTTCTTTCCTTAAAATCTCACTCATATTTGAGTATCTCCACATCGTGTTAGGCTAACAAAGATCCTTACAAGCCTCTTTCCCTGCCTTGCTCCTTTGCTCTCTCTGAAGATTGTGTGTGTGTGTGTGTGTGTGTGTGTGTGTGTGTGTCCTGATCTGTGCTCAAAATATGCCCAAAGTAGCAGTACTGTCTTTTCATCAAATAAGAAGGATGATAGTTATAGCTGTGGGTACCCTTACTGAACCTAGACAGGTATCAAAATTGCTCATTTAAGATTTCATATAAGATAGATTAGATTCCAAGGAGAGTGAAGAAAGGGGAAAAGAAAAACCAAAAGGTTTTATGATGATTCCACTTTAACAAATGAGTGGAACGTAAGAGCATACAGTTCATGAACTAAGTTGTTAGATTTGTAGCAAGTTTAATATTAAAGCCATAAATATCTTCTAATACCATTTTCCTTTCCCACTCTGAAGGATTGCTATTATTTATCATCCTCTGTCTCTTTGATAAGGTGCTTGCCATAAAACAATTTGAGAGAATAAGGGCTAATATGGTCTCTGATTAAAACTCAGAGTATTTATTTCAATCATAAAATGTGAAAGAAAATAATATTGGTGGCGTAGATTTCTGATTTTTTTAAGAAGATTCTATTCTATGTTACTCCTGCAGCAGAGCTGTATTTTCCAACCAGACGGCATCAGTGTGATGAAATGTGGTCTCAAAGCACAGGAATAAACCTGAGAAAAAATTTTAACACACACATTATTAATGGTGTTCCATGCATTAATTTAAAAATAGGTATGTGTAAAAGTCTTGAAATTGTGATGACAGATACAAATACCCATCTATAAGTGATCTTTTATTTTAAGTAATACTCTTTGTATAATATTTTATAATTTTCTAAAGTTCTTCTTTTCTCAGTTACAAAATTTCATTCCCCATTTGTTAGTCAGTTGTATTAACTTGTACATGTCTTATTTATTCCCATATTATAACTTAAGATGTTCATAAGTCATTTCCTTATTTATCCCTAGATATCATGTATTCTACACTTTGAGGGTGACTATTTATTTTGTTTTTTTGTTTGTTTGTTTGTTTGTTTGTTTTTGTCTTTTCTTCCAGTACCAGGAATTGAACTCATGACCTTGCACTTGCCAGGCAGGTGCTTTACCACTGAGCTAAATCCCCAGCCCTGAGCATGACTATTTAATTGCTTCATTCTACCGTTTTATGTATTTCCCTGTAAACTGTCAGCTAAGTTATATAATATTGACAGCATCAATATTAAATAGTTCAAATATAATAACAATGCAAACTTTTAAGCCAAATTAAGACTAAGCCATAAGAAAAGAGAAGAGAAAAAAAATTAGGATTTTGAGTGTGATTATCTTCCATCTGTATAAAACAGGGCAGAATTGATATCCTAATAATATTGTGTCTAGCAATCCATGATATAAAATATTACTGTTTCTTTAAAAATAACTTCTTTCTTTTTCACTGACATTAAAACAAATCCCCTGAATCTATATGTACTTTGTATCCATGTCATTCCATAGTGAGCTTCTAATTTTAAGAATACTGTGAAATTTGTGCCTTAGGCTGTAGAATAGTGATGTGCGTTGATGTAGTTTCTTGTGGCTATATTATTTGTAGCTTCCTCAGCTTCTTAAACCAGGTATTTCGCTTTTGGTTATATCTTCTCTAATGTACAGTTTGAGTGAATCCTCTGTTTTGACCTCATTTTTAGCGATTCTGTCCTCTTTCTTCTTTACTCTAGAATTGAGCTAATGCAGAAAATTTTTTTGATGTCCTTATATTTTTAAATTCTACAATTTCCGTTTTGATCTTTGTTACAATTTGCTACTGCTTACTAGATTTTTGTAAATTTTCATTTGTTTCAATAGGACTTCCAATCGTTTTTGAAACTTTTTTTTACTTTGATTGCTTTAAAATCCTTGTTAGATAATTCCAAAATGTGATTCATCGTGTTTTAGTTATCTCTTCTTTTTCACATTTGAATACTCCTGATGGACATGTAATTGCTATGGCACACTTTTGGTTTGTTTATGATGTTTTACTACCCTCTTATTAAAACCCTGTTACTGTCTTACTTAAGATTTTTTTTAAATGTGTAGAACACTAGCTTATGGGCACCAGTCCCTTGTAGGATATGTATTCTAAATCCCATTTGCTGACATGCTAGGCTGGTGGGAGTACTCTGTGTCACTGGGAATTTCACTGTTCCATGCTGAGGAAAACGAAAGGGAGAGAGTGTTCCCAGGTTAGACCCTGGTTCCATTAACTTGCTAAAGACAAACTGTGTCTAGTGCTGACTAAGCATATTTCCAGATAAGTTTGTTGAGAAAAGTCCCTCCTTGCCTATGGAAAAATATACCGTGGGGATGCTGGGGAGCGTTTACCCTTCTTTCCTTCACTTCCTATGTGGGGAGGAGGATGGGGCTCCCCTGGACACTTAGAATGAGAAACTATTCACAGTGTTCCTGATCACACAGCACTTCCGGGTAAGGAAGAGGATTCTCAGGCCCAATGGAACTTTGCCGGTGGGAAGTGGATTTTCTGTATATTTCATAGCAAGTTATATTTTCATGTGTATAAAATGCTATTTAGATGGGAATATAGCTCAGCGGTGCAAGTGCCTGCCTGGCAAGCGCAAGATGGATTCCTTGTACAAAAAAATAAAATGCTATTTAACTAGTTATTCTGAATTGTCCTCTTAGTTTATATGATGGCTTACCATTCTAAGCATATTTATATTCATTTCTCATGTATGTTGACACAAATAATTCTCCAGCTTCTTTTTTCTTTTAGAATTTTACATTGAGAGAAGGCGCAATGGGAAAGAAGGGTGGGAAAGCAAAATTAAAGAAAGGATTAAAGATGGGATATGTATATGTATCAGTTTCCTACAATAAATGTATTTATTACGTATTGCAAAATCTGCTGATAATAAAATGAAAATTTTAATTAATTAATATTTTATTACTGAGATTTCCCTTTCTTTGATTTTTGAAGAATTTGACCTTTTTAACAGGTAGAACTAGACCTACTCTCTAGAATTCAAAAAATATTGAGAGTTGTTAATAATAAATTTACCACCATTACAGGTATTTAGGGAAGGAAAATATTCACTGGTGGAACAGGCGGTAATTCCTATTCCTTTTTACCAAGGGTTGGAGTGAATTGTTGCAACTGTATTTAATCTGAATTAGCGCTTTGCTCCATATCTTCAAGGTTACTTTTCTCATGCTAGGAAAGGTTAGTCCATTTTATATACATCATAGATATTTTAGATTCGCTTAATTGTTTAAATTAGTAAATACAGAAGCTTGAACATTGCATTGACCGTTCCATGGGTCCCAGGGTCTCTCACATTGCCTCATACAGACCTTAAACTATGAAAATTTTAATGAACGTAGGAGGAAGGAGTACTTTGCCTGTGAAGAGAAGGCCTCAGAGGGGCTGAAGAGGCCAGACCCCTGCATGCTGCATAATTTGCTCCCTTATTTTTCACAAAGTATCTCTCCCCACTCAAAGACGATAAGAGGTGGAAAAGACAGCCAACAATTTCAGTTTTGCAGTCATATCACAGTTACAGTGGTAAGGATCACGACATTATTTTTATTCTTTCTACTTACAGGTGCAGGTTCTTCGGAACGCTGGGGAAGAAGTGACCTTAACAGTCTCGTTTTTGAAGAGAGCCCCCGCTTTCCTCAAACTCCCATTGAATGAAGACTGCGCATGTAAGCGTTTGCAAAGGAAGACGCCGCATCCTGTAACTTTCTAAACGGCTATTTTCTCGCGTAACTGATCATTTCCCTTTAAAGTTAGGATCCCGGCCTAAATATAAACATTTTTGTACCCCAAAAGGCTCTCCAGACCCTATGGAAAGGAACTAGATGTGATTTTTCTTGCAAAATATATTAACCATATCATGTCTTTCTCCAATGTATAATTAATTATTTGATTAAAAATGGGTATCATACTTAACACCACGTATATAATATATATCTTTATTGAGTTTAAATCATACTGTTAGGCTGATATATTTTCTCTAACAAGAAAATGATATCCTCTGCTGAACAAGTAGTTAGACTTTACCCATCCTGAGAAAAACAGAAATATTGACGGAAGAATTTCCTTCTTGGGAAAGTGGTAATTTACACAAGACTTACTTTAAAAGTTCTTTACCAGGCTTCTTTCTTTGTTCTTTTTTTTTTTTTTTCTGAACTGAAATGCATATTATCTAATACTTTTGCTAAAAATAAAGGACATATTTTTAACTGAGGCATAATGTACATGTACTGCAATGAAAAGATTTCAAATGCACAGTTGGATCAGTTCTGAAAAGGCAAACATTTGCTTAACCACACTGCTCTCAATAATAGAACAGTTCTTCTGTGACTATTTCCAGAAAATGACAGCCACAGAAAAAGCCACTGACTTAATTTCTCATAATCATGCACTATTTTGCCTCCTGTAGAACTTTATGAAAAAGAATCATATTTTATTGAACTTTTTATGTCCTTTCCATTAGGAATAATTAGATTCACCTGTTCTATACTTCAGTAGTGTATTCATTGATATTCCTGTGTAGTATCCCATTGTTTAACTAAAGTTTATTAGTGCATTCTTCTCTTTAAAATATACATTTCCCATATTTTACTATTATTAGTGAAATTGCTTTAAATGTTCTAGTACAAGGCTTTTGGCAGTTGTAAAGTTTTTTTTCACTGCAAAAAATATCTGGGAGCTTAGTTCCTGATTGATAGGATAGATGCACAATTAACTTGTTAATAAATTGCCAAATGTATGTCCAAAGTGAGCACATTTTTACTGAATAGTGTATATCACAAGACTTGCTCTGGTAAGCATTTAGAAATACATATTGCAGTAGTCTGAGCAGTGTGCACAAGGTGGTACAGCAGAACTTTGCAGTTTTCGTCTGGCAAAACTGAAACTGTGCTCCTTAAACAACAGATCTCATTTCCATCATCTTTGTGCCCTGGAAAACATATTTCTAGGTTTGGTTATAAGAGCTGGATGATTTTAAATACCCTGTAAAATTGAAATAATGCAGTATTTGCCATTTGTCTACCTTATTTTGAAATACTTAGAATAATGTCCTCAAGATTCCTCTAGTTTTTGGCATATGACTGGATTTATTTTTAAAAACAGTGTAAGTCACACATAATTTCATACATTCGTGGAGTGGAGTGTTACTTGGAAACATCTATACATGAGCAGTGATCAGGTAGGGTAAAATAGTACATCCATCACGTCAAACAGCTATTCTTTCTTTATATCAGGTACATTTAAAATCCTCTCTTCTGGCAATTCTGAAATATACAGTCAATTATCTTTAGTGAAAACACTGGAACTTAACCTTCCTCACTGTACTTTTGTGCTCATAACCTAGATCTATTCTATCTGCTCTCCTTTCCACTCTCACCAGCTTCCGGTAGAGACCATCCTACTTTCTACTTGTATGCAATTAACTTTTTCAGATCCACATATGAGCGAGATTATGTGGTATTTGCCTTACTGTGTCTGGCTTATTTCACTTAAGTGACACCCTCCAAGCCCTTCCATGATTCTCCAAGTGGCTGGATTTCATTCTTTTGTGTGACCATTAATTTCTTCATTAATTCATGGATAGACACTCGATAGGTTGAGGGCGTATATTGGTTATCATCATCAGTGCTGTCATAACACGACAGTGAAGATGCTTTTTTGGCATACTGACTTCCAGCCCTTTGGTTGTGTGGACAGTAGTGAGACTGCTGGGTCTTATGATAATTCTGTGTTAACTTTATAGAGCAACCTCCACAATGGCTATACTAAGTGTACATTGTAGAAAATTCCCCTTTTTTTCTCATCCTCACCAGCATTTGTTTTTTCTCTTTTTTGATGATGACCGGAATAGCTCAGCTTACAGTATTACAGGATTCTTCATTTGCTTATATAGTTAACTCTATCAAAAGCTTTGCTTTTTATTTATTTTCACACAGCTTCCTATGTGCTTTCATTTCAGGTTCAGGAAATCTACAGTTTGTGTAAAACTGATCCAGTGGTGATCAATTTCCTTAGGTTTTTTTATGTAGGAAAATCTGTATTTCTCCTTCCATTGGATGAAAAGTCTACTAAGTACAGTTCACTTGGTTGGGTATTTTTATTTTCTTTTAGGATTTACAGTATATCATTCCACTCATTTCTTGTCTGGAATGTTTTTGCTGACAGATCTGTGGGTAATCTAAGAAACCTCCTTTTATTGTGTAGATTGTTCTCCTGTTTCAATAGTTTCCATTTGCCTATGACGTTTGACAGTTTGTTAGCTTTCTTCTTCTTGAGGTTGTATTTTTGAGTTTCTTGAAATGGAAATCATGTCCTTTCTCAGACCTGGGAGATTTTGGGGCACCATTTCTTTACACAGGTTCTGTTCTCTTCTCTGTCTTCTGGAGATACCACAATGCATACATTGCTTTACAGTAACCCATTCCTGGAAAGTTTCTCAGGAGCACAAAATATAAAATATTGTCATTAAAATTTCATAAAAGTAGATACCTTCAATGAGAGTATTCGACTATATACCAGGAGCACTTGTGAGACAGAGCACGAGTAAAATGTTTTGTGTGACGGAAAATTATGGTTCTGAATAGAGAATTGGCCAATAAGATAAAACATGGCATAAAATGGAAATCTTAGACAAACAAAACCATGCATGTTTTTCAGTATGGTTTTTAAGTGTAGGTCGCTTTGAATAATGTAATAAAATAATACTTTCTCTAAAGTTGTGTATTTTCTTTCATAAATCCTTAATATTTTTGAAATCAATGACAAACATGAGTCTCTTTTCATACCCCAATACTTGGAATTGCTTAGCTTACTTGCAAAACTCTGGCTTTGATAGTAGTGAAATGCAATTCTAGCTTAGCACTTGATTTCCTGCTATTATTGTGCGAGTTTAATGTGGACCATGTGACCCTAGAATGGCACGGCTTTCTAACTGAGGGATTTGCGATTTTGTCTCCTGCAGGTGCACCCAGTGACCAGAGCAGTGGCACCTCCTCGCCTCTTTGCGACAGTGGCTTGCATCTCAACTATCATCCCAACAACACGGTAAGATGGCCTCGGCATAGCTGGATTAATAAGAAGATAGATGACACAATGCAAAGCCATTAAGTTATATATACATGCATGTATAACTTGTAAAAAATGCTACTGTATTTATTCTAATGTGTCAGATAGATCTAAAATCTTGCATTGCTTTGTCATTTAAGCAATATAATAAGCCTGCAGGAAAAAATAGTGACTCTTAGTTTTTATTTTGTTTTCCTCTTCTTAAGTCTATGTACATTAGGGATTTTGCAAGCTATAAATACTCTTAATTTGAGGAGGTTATAAATAACATCACACGATCATTTTAGAGCATTCCATATCATATGTAATTTCATGCTCTACATGAGTTGATGCAATTTGCATCATTTTTCATTTTTTAACTAAACATAGCTATCATTTGTTATGATTTAGCAATCTATGCATATCAGAGAATTTCTACAAATTGAGAAAATCTTATTTGCACATTATTTTGAAATGTAGTAGCTGTTAAGCTATATATACATTTAATAGAATATGAATTTAACATGTTGTTTTACACACATTTAAATCAATTTTTAATGCTCATTTTCCACTTCTACATTGAAGTACACAGGTTTCTCCTTCTATAAATAGGTCTGAAAGTCTTTTTATCTCAGCCTTCAGAACACACATTTTAAAGATGAAAAGAATTCCTTTTGTTTATATGTAGCTATTGTTCCCTGTGCTCACAGACATAAAGCTTAGCACAGCTGACCTTTATTTCTCTGTTCCATGTACTAAAATGTGTAAAACATACTCTTCTGACTTGTATGAATCATCCACCATTTGAGAATCTTGACCCAAATGTGGCATTCATTTCAAAAGACTTCTTTGGAACACGCTCAAGCTCGCATAATCTTCACCAACAGCGCCAGCATTGTGCCTTAGCTGAGGACCTTAGGTCCTCCAGTTGTTTACTTTTTTTCCTTATACAGAAGAACATTTGCTTAAAAGAAAGATTATTGCTACAAACATAAGGATGTTTTATAAAGCCCACCACATCTAGATATATTTCATCTGATTTTTTAAAATTTTATTTACTAAAGGAAAAATTATCTTACAATAATATTTATCACACTGAGCTTCTGAAGCTGGCAAGATCTGAGTCATTTAAACCCTGAGTTTCCAAATGAGAAAGAGTATATGTATCGGCAGTTCCATCAGCCAGTTCCACAATTCCAGAGACTTCTTCCATGGATCAGCCTTTTCCTCCCCTCATGCAAGACACTGAATCCAGGGCCTTGTGCATGACGGCAAGTGCTCGTTCCCTGATTACAACTCTAGCCCCAGTTGCTTTAGTCTCTTAACTTTCACAATTGCTTTGCTCACTTTCTAGATGCCTGTATGCCTTAGGTGTCCTCTCCACTCCCCTCTCCTCTACTGATGCACCAGCCTCAGCTGCTGTGGAAGTTAGTGCCCCTACCCACACTCTCTGTGTATAGAGCCCTTTTGCCAGATCTGAGGCTACGGAGCTACTCTCCAATGTGTAGTGTGCCTTCGCTTTGGGAAGACAGGAGCAGACTCCTGAGGCACCAGCAGATGAAGTGAGGTCCTCCTTCAAGAAGTCACGTCTTTAGCCAGGACCTCAGCCTCCTCCGCCCTGCCTCCTTCAGCCTGCAGATTTCTTCTGAGAAATTTCCATGCCATTCACACAAAAATCTCCCTCTCAGCTGCGTTCCTCAAACAAATAAACAAACAAAAAGAGCTAACTTACGTCAGAATGCAAGAAAGCAAGTTGATGATGTTCTTAATCTAGTTTTTACCCAATGTCCTTGAACTCCTTCATAATAAGAGGAAGCAGAGAAGTTAGAATAAAAGGGAAGAAAGCATCCTGGTTTATTTTTAATTCATTCCACTACTGTGCACACAAAACTGTGGAATAATTTCATCCTATAGAAATCTATAATTAGACCAAGAAAACCACTCTAATTCCATAGCATAATTGTTCCAAATAAGTCCAGTTGTATAAAACTCAAAATATCATTTTCCATATTTGTTTTTCAATTTAGAGCTATGCCTATCCATTCCAAGAGGCACATTTTGTCCTCATTTTTAGAATTAAGACTGAGCTTTCTTTTGATACTGCTGGAAATGCTTCAGTGCATAGAAATTAAAGATATATAAAGTATTTTAGAGGATAAGAATTGTAATACATGTAAATTCAGACAAAGTACATTTATTAGTTCAATGAACATGAACTGGATGAACTTTTGGTGACAATCTACAGGAAAGACTTTTTCTAGATAGTTTGAGAATCAGTTAATTATGAATCCTGATCCCAAAAGTTGAAAATCTAGATCTAGAGACAAATCCACAAGATTAATTTTAAAAGAAAAAGCAAACAACCGCCATCACCATTCCAGGAACAGACAATGGGTAGAGAGAATATGAAAGCCTCAGATAGCTGAATTCAAAAAGTTTAGAGACTACAAGCAGGAGTGATGACCTATACCAGTAATGTGAGCACTCTGGGAGGCTGATGCAGGAAACTCCCAAGTTCAAGTCAAACCTTGGGAACTCAGAGATTCAGAGAGATTCTGTCTCAAAATAAGAAAATAAAAAAATAAAAAGGGCTAATGTAGTTCAGCATGGAGGTCCTGTACCATACAAAAGGAAAAATAAAAATGTTTAGTCTACAAACTAAATATATGCTCTGTTGATCAGAACAGAACATTCATCTTTGAGCTCCATCAGATCGTGCCTATGTACATAGCCAATGCTACCCTCTTTTTCTCTATATATCTTGAATAAGCTTTGAACCAAGAATGGAGGGGAGAGATACCTTTACTCAGAGATTTACAAAATTAAAAGAAGACAAAGACGTGGTCTCCTGAAACAGCAATGAACCGTGGGTACTTGGAAAGGCATATGTATTACGGAGAACATTTTCCATTGACAGTTTGCAAATTATAGACACTTGATCTCCCTCGAATAAATATTGGATTCCACAAAGTAAATAATCCAAAATTTTGTTCTGGGCCTAAGAACTCCACTTTTATTTTAGAAAAAAAAATTAAATTACACTTACATAGTACATAAAAAGAAAAGTTGTGCAAACTCCATTTTTAATACCTGTGCCTGAATTATACTCCAATGTGAATTTTAAGTAAGTAGGCACAATTTTGATTTTTGAACATCCTTACTATATTTTTATGGAAGCATTTGGGCATGAGAGAAAATAAAGACATAATAAATAAGAATTGCTTTATCATTCCACATAAAAATATAAGCTATTCCTTCTCAGGATTTAGGTTGTGAATTTTAGGGAGTACAAAGGTCATCTGTTTTGATAATCAAGACACAAACACTCTACACCCCAGATCCACTGAATTTCCTTTCTCTGAGATAAGAGTAAAGGAAATTGTTTTAGAGACTCTGATTCAGATGACCAGTTAACTAATCTCTGAAAGCCAAGTTATTTTGTTGTTTATTTTTATTGAATACTTTCTACGCCAAGTTCGCAATAAAATCTGCATCAGCATTCTGCCCTGCATACAATTCTGTTCTGGTAAGCTGATGCTCCCTGAGGTTATTGTCTGGGCTGTGTTAAGCTTCAGCACAGAGTCTATCTTAAAGCAAGGGGTATGTAAATGTTACTTTCCAGTCATATTATTAATCATTTTAGGAGACTATATTGTCGACACTGTAGTTTTCTCTAAAAACTAGTATAATTTTCAAAGTCATGATTCCATTTTCAGATTACCTTTTGCACAATTCTAAACACCTATAGTATGACAAACAAGGGCAGAAAGCACATTCATAATTGTTTCTAGAATTAAAATAAATCAGTACAAATAATCTTTAAAGGCTATTAGATATTTCACTGTAAATAGCTGCTCTATAATATAAAATATATCAAGCATGATTATTCCAATAGTTGATTAGCTCTATTTCATATATCTTATAAGGAGGCAGCATAAAAGAAAATGACACATTTATAACACATAGATAAAAGCATCAAGATGTTAAAAATAATTATCAAAGAGTATAAGTATTTCCATATCTGCTAATCTATGACATCTATCAATATTATTTTTAAAATGTCATACACACCTATTGCTGATTGTCATTGTTCTCACTGTGTGACTGTCCATATTTTAAATTTTTTTTTAATTTATGGAACTTGAAATGCAAGGAAAATAATTCTTACCTTTTATGAAGCATGAGGAACCATCTTTAAATAATTAATTTGCCAAAAATTGTATGGCAAAAATAGTAAGCAACTGAAAAATCTGGATTACTCTACCACTTCAACTCTGATTATGAATGCTAAAGTATGTGCGACCGGACAGTATGGTTGCAGACTCAGGGGCACGTTGGTCTGAGTGAATCCTGAAGCTGCCATTCGCTGATTGGATCCCTTGGTCAGCAGTTTGCTACAGGACCTCCAGGAATGCACATGTGTACTTGGTCCAGGTAGAACGTTTCAGGTGTGCATTGATAAAGGCTATACTGTTAGGAAACACCATGTGCTGCACAGCTATTCCAGCTCAAATGAAGAGCTCACCCTATACCCTGTGTGGGCTGACCACCCATGCCAACTGGCACACGGTCAGTGGAAAGACTGACACGTGGTCTACTCCCTCACAGGACTTGTTCTGTTTGTTCAAGTCTACCTTGCAGCACCTTTATTTCCTCTGTCTCTTCTTACAGAAAAGAGAAACCATAGCTCTTTGCTTCTACAAAACAGTCTTTGGTTTTTCCTATGCAAAAAGAAATATTTTTGCAAGGGGTTGAAGCAATGCATGTAAAGCATTTAGTATAGTGAAAGAGTATAAAAAATAGTAATCATGAAACTGCTAGAATGAGTAAGGATTTCCTTCTTGGAAGCTTTATGTTTAACATAGTTTTATCCATTTTTCAAAAATATTATTCAATACATTATTTGGTCAGTGTTTACTTCTTTCTAGCAAGTAATGCTTCTAGTCAGCCTGCTGTTATTAGTAAGTGTAAATTTTCTGTTAGATTTTTTGAGAAACTGAAAATACAGGAAGCTCAGTGTTGAGTATATTGCATGCATTTCCTCATTTATTTCAGATTATACTCTTACGAGTCATTGCTATTATTATTCCCACTTTGAAAATCGGTACAGTGAGATGCAACAACTTTAAATAACTTGACCCTAGCTTAATGGTCTCATCAGTTGAACAATTAGGATTGAAACCTGGATGGTCTCTTCACTTTGTTACACTGCTACCAAACTGTCCCAATGTCACATGCTGACCACCTAAGTCACCTAAAATGAAGAAAAGATGCCACATCACCTACTGACAACTATGACATCCGGCATAAAGAGCTAACTACTCATGACAGATGACCCGAAGAACTAACCCTCACTTTACATGCTGACCCCCTGTGCTAGCTTACATGAGGCCAGGAGAAAGACTTATATGAAATCTTGGCTTGAGTCTTTGTAACACAGGGTAAATACTGAAGACAGTGGTCTGTCATCAGAGGACTTATGCTCAATGGGTCATTAACAGGGTCCTTCCTAGGTGATCTTAGCCCAACTTTCAAATACTTTAAACTATTTCATGGACTTAGTACATTTTGACCATTTTCTTCTGAATCCACTTAAAAATACTGAAGGTAATACTTAATAATATTTGACAACAAAGTTTCAAATTTGAACTAAAATAAATTCTTCTGAACATCATCACTTGAAAATTAGTAAATAGAGAGGAAACGAAATGAGCAGTCCTCCTGTGAACTCCTAACAAAGATGAACATACATGTAATTTAAAATCAACAGTTGCTGCCTTGTATGACTTGAAAAAAATATAAGAAAATAGTACATAAACCTTTTGTAAACATTAAGTGTGAACAATGAGCACAGACTTCCCTGGGCAGTGTTTTGAAAGCTGTCTTATAGGAATGCCCATTTATTCATAAATATTTGCCAGGAACTGATAAATTACAAGCACTTCTAATGGTGCTTAGCACTGATCAGGTACTCAGAAACGTTAATTCACAGAATGACTTACACAGCTTATTGCTTTTTTTACGTGCTGTTTCCCTGCGTGTAAAGTTAGCTTTGCTTTGTCTTTCCTGTTCTTGAATGAATCCAGTTCAGCCACCCTTTCATTCTTTTTAACCCGTTCTCTTCGCCTCATTGCTTTCCTGCCTTTTCACTGGTGGTGTGCGTCTGAATGAATCCTTCCTCGCCCACTCACAGAATTATATTAATGGTGAATTAGCAAGTGCAACGTGAGGGCCAGTCAGTGTGGATTTTTGCTCCTAAAGAGTTCAGCGTCTTAACAGTCTCTTAGTGTTCTGACCCTTAGGGTCGTGGAGAGCGTGGGTGACTCAGAAAGGGTGAGAAGTCCTGAACGTGTGTGTTCCTTGCAGGACTCGCTGTCCTGCTCATCCTGGCCGACCTCCCCTGGCCTGCGGTGGGAGAAGCGGTGGTGCGACCTCAGGCTCATCCCGCTGCTGCACTCGCGCTTCTCCCAGTACGTGCCCGGGACGGACCTGAGCCGGTGAGTGCCCCCTCCCTCCCTCCCTGGGCTGCGCCTCCCCGGGCGGCTCTGCTCAGCCTCCGACCCCAGAATGCCCCATCCGTCCCATCCCAGCCGCTTCTGAGAGCAGCAAAGGCAGCTCCAAAAGAGCAACACGGGAAAACATTTCTGAATCCCGCGGCAGAAGCAACAACTCAAGTTCTGACTGTGCTGATGAAGTCAGTGTGCGTAGCGATGTAGATCTATCCGTGTATTTACTGTATTAATATTTCTTCCTTGGTGCCTTCATTTTTGTCAAGGAATTTATGTTGCCTGTTTAAATTGCTGGGTTCCTATTAGATCGTTCATCTCTTATCTTTAAAATCAGGGTTCGGTCACCAGGGAGGCGCTCTTTTTCAGGACTGAAGTCTAAAATGATCACTACTTTATGTTTTTTATCTGTATTGTTTGTGTTCCTTGAATTCCTTAGTCTGAAGTTTTTTTCGTTTTGTTTTGTTTTGCCTTTTGTTTTTTCAGGATTTCTTGAGACAGAAGTTTCAAGGGGAATCATTTTTGTAAAGAGCAGCGTTCTGTTCTATCCATTTTTACTTAACTCTGAATACCACAAGGGGGATTCAGAGCCTGGTTCAAAATGAGGCCCCTCGGGGAGAGACAGTAGTTTCGTCAGAGTGCGGCTGGTTTGATGTAGGGTGGTCCCAAGACTTCCTGGTTTTCCTTAATGCATTTCCCAGTCCTGTCCTGGGAGCTGTGATTTGTGGTGCTGTTGCCCTTCTGGGTTGGAGGCTTCTAGGAGCCCTGGCTAGGGTATATATGATAGGTATTAAGGAAACTCAGGACACTAGTCACCTGTCACTCCTGTCCGAGGGTTCCAGCAGTGAGACCCTCTCCGACCTGGCGGAGACGTCCAACACTGGTCTTCTGTGCCCGGTGCATTCCGGAGTCCCTTCGAAGACTGACGCTACTCTTTCTTGGTCAGTGTTAAAAATCCATAGCACTCATATTTATGTCTTTGCCCTTATTTAATGGTATTTTTTTCATTTTCTTACCTCTTAGAACGGTACCCTATTTAAAATGTTGCTGCAAAATTTCAAAAGATTTTGGAGACTTTGAAATTATCAGTCTGTTGTTTTCTAGTACAATTTCCTGCTGGATGATTCTAATGTTTCCACATTTGTTAAGGCTGGTTTTTACCCAGTGTGTGAATCACTCGGGGAAATTTTCCACATACCCTGAAAAAGGAAGACTGTTGACCTTTTTGGTGCCAGAGTCTACATATTTCAGCTAGGTGATATGTTGTTGAATAGGGCTTCTCACTCTGTCTGTTTTTAATATTTCCACTTAGTGTGTCAGGTATTGAAAGAGTTGAAGTCTCCCACTAAGAAATAGATTTGCATATTTCTTTGTTTTCAATTGGTATTCATTGCATCCATTTAGTTGTAAACTCTCGTTATTGGAGGCCATTTGCTGGAGGGAGATTACTAGCTGCCCTTCCAATCTACCCAGTTTGTAAATAAACAGATTTCCCCCCTATTTTATTTCTTAGGATAAATGATCAAGAATGCAATTACTCACTGGTTTGTATTAGAGTACCATAGTTAACTCTCTTTAAAAAAACAGCCAAATTGTCTTATAGGGTGATTGTTTAATTTTATATTTCCACCAAGGAGAAATACATGAGTGATTCAGCCTCCCCACGTTTCCGCTAGCACTGGCGTGGTTGCTGCCTATACTGTACCATTCTGATGGGTGTGTGTCATGTTGGACTTCTGTTTGTCTACATACCTGTGACTAATACATCCACTCACTTTGAGGAAATGTCTATTTATGTCTTTTACTCAATTTGTAACTCATTTATTTGTTGCTTGTTTTTATTGCTGAAATTTGAGAATCTTATATGAGGGAAAAAAGACCCATGTCCCAACACATTGATTTTTATATTCTATCTTATCTTCTTTTTATACTAAATAAGCATTATTACTATGTACTATAAACATATACTAAAGAAAAATTTAGAAAATGTATAAAGCATTTTTATTATTTAATGGCTCTCCTATTAGATTTTTATGTATACTTTTATTATTGCTTTAATTTTGCCGAATTACTCTCTCCTATGTGCATGACTTGCTAGTTTATTATAAGTTTTTAATTTTGTATTTTTTCAGAAAATTCTACAAATTCAGAATATTGACCTCTTTATCCCTTTCTTATCTTTGGGGATATTTTTTGTGTGAGGGATGATCAGAAATTACAAGGAACGTTTGAATTTAAAAACAGTATTACAGAAAAGTCTCAGTACCGTTAATACCCCTTAAGAGAGCCCCTCTGTTAGGACACACTGGGTGCACTGTTCTGGCCATTTTCTGAGGCAGGTGCAGGAGTCCTTTTTCATGAGTGGCTTTAGTTTCAGTGTTTCTTGATGTCGTGAATTGATTCAAAGCATTTCACTTATATAGTCATTTTGATTTGGGGGAAGAACCAGAAGTGCACAGTGCCAGATCCCTTCAGTAAGGTGAATGAGAACACACTGTAGTGCCCTCACGGGCCGCCTTTCCATTGAATGGTACTCAGCAGCAGCATTCACTGCGTTTTGATCACTCCTCTTAAGACACAAAGGAGAACTTCCGGAATCGCTTCAGGAGGCGGAAGGAATGATGCAATATGTGTTCTTGAAAATGGGAATATCTTGAGGGGGATTTATAGTAATGTAATTTTACAATAAATTTCTAAAATGTAAACTTTCAGCATGGTTTGCAGTTACCACTTACTTGTCCATTTTTATGGGTTCCTTGACATATGCCTTTATGCCCAACATGTATTATTACTTTTCCATAGCTCTTTATTAAAATATGTTTTGCCATTAATGTTTCTATTTATCTTCATTTCTTATATAATTTTGCTTTAAGACTTGTCTTTTTTTTATTAATGCTATTTGTAAGTTCATGCTTGTTTTCTTTTGAATTTTCTTAAAAGTTGTGCAGCAACGTTGCATACAGACATTTAACTAAATTAATTTCTACTAACAAATGAATTGTTTGGGTGAGTCCAGTTATCTTTACATTTTATTTTTTACAGGCTTTCAAAGTGTCAATAGCTTTTAGCAACTGAATTAATTACATTCAGTAATTATTACAGTAAGAAGCAGTTACAAACGTAGCACTATTCAGAATGGATTTTAGAGCAACTCATATTCAAGAGCTATTCTATTGTTCACTTATTCACTCAGTAAAGACTGGTTTAATGTCTGTGAGTGGGAGGCACTGTGTTTTGTCCTCTCCCTAATAAAGCTCAGAAGCTAACTGCAGTGCATTCAGGGAGGAGGAAAAATAACTGTCTCATGATTACAAATACAGAGGATTATTTACTTTGGCTGGAAACCAAAGGTATTATTTCTTGGTTGATGTTTCCCAAAGCCCATAATTATATCTTCAGTTATGTAATATATTTCATATTTAATTATACCAAAGTTATGTCGCTGTCATTTACTATTGTGTTGATATCAGTTGATAAATTACAATATTTTTTACCAGCAATAAGAAAGTTTATGTTACCATGTGGTAATGCCTGTGATTCACAAATGTATATCTGCGTTATGTTATGAACTAAGTCACAATATTATGAAGTTAAAGACATTGAAGTAAATACAGATTTTGGGAATGTTCATAGATGTTTTATCCTTTTTGGGTTTTATTTTCCTGATATGCAAAAAAAAATCACCTTATAGATACACATATATGTGTGGGGACATACGTTTATGTGTATGTATTTGAATCTGGCAAACAGTATTTATGTCTATATTCAATATGTGGCATGTTTATGGATCACAAGGCCTCAAATACTTACTAAATAAGTTTTTAATAAGGAAGAATATCATCTCTGTTTATTTTTGGTAGGCGTATGCTTCTAAAACACTACGAAAATCAATAATATTAAAGTGGAACCTACTGATTTTACTTGCGCTTTTATAAAATTCCAGGTGATAACAGCATTTGTAGTTCTTCCTGACACAGTACAGCCTTTTATCCTGAGATAGTGCCACATTTGGGATCCATGCATGCGGCCTAGTTCCTGAACAACAGGCAAAAGTAGTCGCTGTGAGAAGCGAGCTTTCCAAAATGCAGGAATTGCATGAAATGATTCCCTAATAATTGAGCCAGAAAGGAAGAACTCAATTCATGGCTGTTTATCAGAACAGACACTTAGAGATATACATTTTAGAGGATATGAGAGGCATGCAGAATAAGTGAATACATAAAACAGTAAAGAATTAAACACAAATAGAAGGAACTGTGATTGTAATATCACTGAAGAACTACAAACAGGGCCTTAAAAAAATAGACTGGCTGTTCAATCAACAATAGAAGAAAAATACTGAGAGGACTGAGAAACAGTAATTCACTTTTATGTAATTATGGAAAGACTAGTTTTAAGAGTGAATCAGACTAAAAAATATTTTGCTAGAAGAATATGGGAAAGAAAGGACAAGACAAGTAAAATTATGCTATTTGTAAAATGCGGTTTAAGATGGAAGAAATGACATGGTTTTACTGCCTGGTTGGGAGTAGTCCATGGAAAGACAAATTCCAGTAATAAGAAAGAGCACCTGTCTCCCCATGTGGGGCCATGTTGCAGATCTATCAGTCTGACCTTACACGGGTCTCTTATAAGTGTACCTAGATTGACTGAACTGATTGCCTTGTTTAATTTTAACAGATCAGCCTAGAGGTTCACAAGAGCAGGGCTCTATGTAAGAAAGGGATAACCAGTAATTTTCAAAAAATACTCTTAAATAGCTTTGCAGTCCTACATGATTTCATCTCTTCCATGAGGCACATAAGTGTTCCTGTGTCTAGCACACTTATCACATACACTCAACCTCTTCCTCTGTCATTACACATCCTGTCATGGGGATAAGGAAAACGTGCCAGCACCCCCATATCCCAGTCATGCTTGCAAACTCTATGGATACAAAAATCGAAGAACATTCAGATCGCTTATATACAATGGCGTAGGGTTTGCATAAA